CAAAACCACAGGAGATCCACGAGTGCTCAATGTCTCCCAGTCACAAGACAATGACAAAAGCAGCATCTTAAGAGAAGAGATAGTAGCAGCAGTCTCATCACTGGAGAAAGGGAAATCAGCTGGAATAGACAACATCAAAGCAGAACTAGTTCAAGCAGGTGGAGACGCGGTCATAGACATGCTACGGATAATCTGCAACAAGATCTGGCAGACAGGCGAATGGCCAACACCATGGACTCAATCTTTGATCATCACCCTTCCCAAGAAAGGCAATCTTCAAAAATGCCAAAACTATCGTACTACAATGTATTGGCCTGGTTAGCCATCCTAGTAAAATAATGCTTGAAGTCTTTCTAAACAGACTGAAGCCACAAGCAGAGAAAACCATAGCAGAAGAACAGGCATGCTTCAGGAGAGGGCGCAGCACAACTGAACATAGTCATAGTATGTTCAACCTGATAATCATCACAGGAAAGTACCTCCAACACCAACAGGAGCTTCACCACGTATTTGAGGACTCCAAAAAAGTTTTTTTGAAATATGATCCTGTAAGGCAGCGTCCAGGAAAAAAGGAGCAGAGGCAGATCAATGAAGAGTTGGGAGGACAACATCAAGGAATGGACAGGCCTGGAACTCAAAGACATGCTCAGGAAAGTTGAACACCAGAAGGAATGGTGGAAGCTGGTGGCCAAATCTTCAAAAGCACCCAGACGGATATCCAGTCTTTTTTTCTTTAAAAAAATTTAAAGTAAATGTTTTACGGCGTTCGCAACTGCATAATACGGTCATATGGGTGCGCGGGACACACCTAACAGTAACATTTTCAGTTGGTAGGAAATTTTTTATGTTGCCCGGGTGGCGGCCGAAGCCTAGTCTTATCGATTTTGGTAAACCAAGGAATCTTTAACGTGCGTAACTTGCACACGGGACCTCCGAGATTTTTCGCCTTTGTCCAAGAAGGCTATCTATAGGTGTAGATCTTTCCTCCCATAAGACCAGGGGTGTGGTTGAAAGATAGCAGTAAGGAGCCAAGGAGTAACAGTAGAAAGGCTGCAGAAAAAAGTCAGGAGCCCAGAGGAGGGGGCAAAGGAGGTGAGGGGGTGGGGGCAGAAAGTGGAGATGAAAGCAGAAGACAGAATATTGTAAGAGGGCAGGAAAAGAGCAGAAAGGAGAACAATTTTAGGTAAGAAACAATTTCTGAAACTATCCGGATTCGAACCCGGGACCTATTGAATGAGAGGCAAACACCTTAACCTCTAGGCCATGATAGCCCCCCAAAAGTTTTTGTTTTGTTTGTTAAGGTAAGGTTTTACAGCGCTCACAACTGCATATGGTCATATGATAATGAACGCCAAGGGGTTTAGGTCAACAGAGAAGTCGTTACAGGGAATCAAGCTTACTCCGCTCACCTCTCTAGCCTCCACAAAGTCTGCTTCGATTATCAGGCACCCCGGAAATAGCAGTTCACAAGAGAGTGACAAACATACAAAAGACATAGAGGAAAAACGACGATAGTTAGGATGAGGAAAGAAAAAGCAGCAGTTCCCCTATGATGTTCTGGTACAGTATGAGCATGGCATCGATAAATCAACCCATTTATAATTCTACTGTGCATAAGAACATGTTAATATTCCCCCTTTGGGAATGGCCCAAAGACACTTCAGTCAGTAGCACTGCCCTGGTGAGGGACAGATAGTGTTTATCTTTGAATATAAAAGATATAAAGCAAAAGAAAAATTTTTTAATTTATTTAAATCGATACAAATTTTCAAAGGGAGGAAAAATGTCAGTTTCTTCAATTTCATAATTTTGACGACAGCCTGATTTTACCGCGATGACACACATAATATACCTGCCTTCATTACACCTGCATCTGCTGATTGTGGATTGGTCTGAACATCCATCTCCTCACCCACACAAGAGAATGATGTAACTATTGAGACCGTCATCATTGAATTGATGGACAAATAAGAGTGTTTTTTAGTAAGAGTTTTACGGTACTTGCAACACAAATGGTCAAAATATAAGTGCAGAAGAATAAAGGATTAACTATACTATAGTGTAACACACAGAGAAAAGAGGGAGGACAGCTAAGGGCAAAAGACGATTGATTTTAAAGATGGAGCAATCCACACCAAAACACCTACCAAAAACTACCTGCACCAAGAATGTTCAGCATGCTGATGGGGACTTAACACTTTACCATCACAAGGCTCATAGAGTAAAAACCCTTGCCATCAAAGGATAAGGCATTTTGGGGAAAATCCAAAGAAATCCGGCGGTAAACATTGCCGATCGGCAAGAAGTGACGGAAAAGTATTAAGCATTTGCGAGCGTTGTAAAACTTTTACCACACTGAAGTGAAACTGAAACAAGAGTGTTCATATACCTGGGGTACACAGTGGACTAAACTCCTGCATGGGAAGTGCAACAGTGTCCATGAGAACACCAGTCCACAGCATAGGGGCAGAAACTTGCTGTGACAAAATCTCGTATGGGTTAATAATAATTAGCTACCTCAGCATTACAAAGTTAAGTCGGACATTCTTGGACGTTTTGAGTTATTAGAAAGCAAATGTGAGGCAGCGTGGTGGAATCAGGCTCTCGTCAGTTTTTGGGCATTTAGAGTTATTAGTATCATCTTTAAGCTTGTTCACTTGTCTTTATTTGGATGAAAAAAGTATCCATTTATCTTGAATACAAGTCGAGATATTTATGAAAGAAGGAGGTGAAGGTCACCTGTTTTCAGAGGTAAAATTAGTGAGGAAATAGCCGCTAAAGGTTAGTTATTATCATAGCTTAAGAGTCTGTGGTAACTGAAAATTTACATTTTCTGTGTCTTTAATCAACGTTTTTCAGAAAAATCCACACTGGAATGAATTCTTTAATGGACATGAAAGGTGTTGAGCCAAAAAACAAAAATTTAATAAAAATTCACAAACCTGCGGAAAAATGCAAGTTTCTTCATTTTTATTATTTTGACGAGAGCCTGATTCCACCACGCTGCCTCACAAATGTTCTTTCTGCTCTATCAAAATTGTAAGATTATTTGGAGTCATTATCAAGATATTCAAAGAATTGCATTTGAAAAAGCTTGACATGATGTAAACCTCAAATACTTTGACATCAGATTTCTCAAACTAAATACTGTGCAGATAGAACATTGTAATTCCGAGGTAGCGAATTGTTTTTAAAATGTAGATGCTTTTACACACCTATCAAAAAAATTTAGACGGCTTTCAACAATGCCTGTCAGAGCCAATGCGACTGAAAGGAATGCCACATCCCAGTAGAAAGACTGAAGTACTTGACAAAATTTTTTCCCCATTTAAGAATCAAACTTGGGTCTCCTGCACGAGACAGCCAGTGAAACTCCAAACAGCTACATCACAAACACCATATTATCAGTAGTACAAGTAAAATAAAAAAACATTGTAAATCTGGATACAGCCTGTCAGGACAAAGCGCTTAAATGCTTGGCACTTTCCAGGTTACCCCCAAAAGTTGCATTAAAAAAACCCCAAACTCATTAATGTGATAAAATGAAATCAAACACAGACATGTCACACTTTCAAGACTAATTTATTAGAAAACCCCCCCCCCCCCCAAAAACAACATAACAGCAACACCCCCCCCCCCCCCCAACCACCAAAGTCTCGAGTTATTTCATCTCTCAGTTCATACAGTTTTGTGTGAAACAATCCTCATACTCTAATTAAAAGGTCTAATACAATAAAGTCTGCTTACAGGGAATTTTGCAGGACCACTGAATTTTCTGCATTTTAGAAGTAGCTCAAATACAAGCTATGCTCTTCCACAGTACACTGACAAAATTGTAAGGAGTATCACAAAGATAATAACACAGACTTACTCAATATAAGATGGGTGGACTGCACTCTGTACAAATATTTATATAATCAAATAAAAATAAATTAATAAATAGGCGTTACTATGGAAAACATACATATAGTATATAGCAGGCAAGGTCAACAGCCCACCTCCTATATTATCTGAACTGGGTTAAAAGAAGTATAAAAATACCTTTTCTTTAAAATAAACACATTTAATGTCAAGACTTTCAAAAACTATCTGTGGTTTAATCAAACAATTTTTGGGTTTTTCTTTTCTAAATTCCCATTTTAATTTCCTTTACACAGCAAAACAAATAGGTTCCACAGGAGGTATCCTGACAAGATGAGTTATTTCTCCAAATTTAGCGCCTTGAACATAGACAAATCAAGTTTCTAGACCGACTTTGAGCAAGTTACCAGGATGAAATGATAAAAGACCTTATGAACTCGAAGAGAACGGCATCACTTAATTTAAAAATCTGGACATTTGAAGCGTCGATTCTCAGCCGACATCTCCGTTTATCACAATCAGAGAAAGATGAAGAAAGCTATGACAGACCTCCCAGTACCTCCATGTCCAAATATTGAAGTTTCTTTCAGAATCTTCCGTAAAAATCGGTGCTTGAGGAAAAAAATCAGAGAAACAATCAGTCATCAGGACCCCAGTTGATTCAGATTACACTAAGACACAATTAGGGAAAATAAATGTGTATTTCAAATACACACAAATTAACACACACAAAAAAGTGTGCTTTCGTGTCATTTACATGCAAATACAGCAACTAAACGAAATAATATACCTGTGTATTTTCACTTTATTCACAATCCATTGCTTATGACTGATGGAAATGAAATTTAAGAAAAAATTTTGATTTCATGAAAATCTGATCAGGGTTCTTCCATAGCCCCCCCCCCCCCTCCCCTCCCCAAATTTAATCAAAGGGCTTCCATTTTGTCAGAGTACTTGGCAGATCTGGGTTTGCTTCTTTTTTTATATCAAAGATCTATCGTCCTTACCTCTCCCCCTTCTTTTCTTTGAATGTTACTCTTTAGTAACACCTCTAATCTGCAGCATTTACATGACCTTATTGTGTTGAACATACTGTAAAACTTTTACCGAAACAGAAACTAAAACAAATCAGAGGAGGGCTATGACCAGGCCTCCACCTGGAAGCGACGAACTCTCTCAAGAGCTTGAATGTAGGTCGTGGCCTGTTCCTTCGTCATTTCTCCGTGCTCAGAAATCACATCACACAGCGCCTCCTTCACGTCGTCAGGCATAGACTTGGCATTCCTGGAAAAATACAATCAAAAAGACCCAAAGCAATAGTTTTCATTCAGTTTTACTGGACTTGCAACAAGAATAGGTCATGCATATTGTAAGTGCAGCAGATCAGAGGTGTTACAGAGAAAAGAAGGAGGTGAGATGAGGAAGACAGATGATTGACAGAAGAAAAGAAGAAGCAAACCACACTGCAGTTCCTTCCAACCAACCAAGATTAGAGGTGTTACAAGAGGATAACAAACACAAAAAAAGGAGGAGAGATAAGGACGATAGACATTTGATAACAAAAATGAAAGAAGGAGCAAACAACACGAGAGCATCCACAAACCACCCACCAATGACTGCTCAAAAACCCAACCAAAGGGCTCAAGACAATTCTGGGCGAGGCACTGAAGGAGTTAAAATGTATAGTTAACTCAATTCAACATGTATAATAATAAAGCCTTTAATTCATGTCAATTTGCCTCACTCTGCGATGTGCAACAAATTTAGCCTATAACTCATGCTTATATGCCTCACTCTGCCATGTATTATAATAATAAATAAGCCTGTAATTGATGTCTATTTGCCTCACCCTGCCAAGTATTATAAAAAAATAAGCCTATAACTAATGCCAAGTATTATAATAAATAAGCCTGTAATTCATGTCAATTTGCCTCACCCTGCGATGTAGAACGCTCCATTCTGCTCACTCAGCACGTTCCACACCTGCCTGCCTTGCTCACGTATTCGGTGCTGCACATAGATTTTCTCATCCTGAGGGGAAAAAGTTTGGATAATACTCTTGACTGTTTTTAGTTTTAGTAAGATTTTTTACAAATCTTGGAAAACGATTATATAAGTGCTGAAGATTAGAGGTGTTACAACGGAGTTTGGGTTTATTAGCTTTAATAAGAATTTTATTGCACTTGCAACACAAACAGAGTAACATATGTACAAATGCCAAAGATTAAAGGTGTTTCTAAAAAGATACCACAAAAAAGAAGGAGGAGAGATAAGGACAGGAAATGTTCAATAGGAAAAAAAAAAGAACAGACCACACCAGAGCATCCACCAACCACCCTCTGCCAAAGAAGAGGACCACAAAAACCCTCCCCATAGAACCCGAAGAAACAACGGTTAAGAAAAGTTTTAAGAAATACTTGATTTGTGCACCTCCGTTTAGCACATTTCTAAGAAATACTAGAATTATACACAACTCTTATCTCAGAATATTCAGTTCAGCAGATGGAGCCAGCAAATTTCAGCACAATGCCACTTCTAGCCAGATGTTTGTACAGAAAATTTGTTTCTTAATGTAAGTATTTTTATGCCTGTATCGATACACTTTAGAAAATTTATGAGGTAGGCTTCCGACCCCACCTGTCAGGGCCAACCCAAGCTGAGAGGGATACAACATTATCATAGCAGAAAGACTGAGACACCCGATAACATTTTTTCCTCAAGTCCTTGTCAATTATACCGCAATAAGATGACTTACGATGTGGACTTCTTCAGAGTGACATGGTTGAGTGGAGTCATAAAAAAGACGCATCTTTACCTGATCCCTAGAGAAAGCTGTGTGAAGGCTGACGAGACCCTTTTCCTCCAGCTTTGCAAATTCCTCTTCACAAAAGAAATCTTTGTGCTTGCTGCGACAGCCGAAAAACAGCACGACTCCTGAAAGAAAGAAGTAAATGAGTACTATAATAGCAGACCAAATGATTTTATACATATTGTCGTCAATGTTCATCACATTGTTGTATGCCAAAATAAAAGGTTTTCAGAGGATGCGAGAATCTGTTCAGGACACTATCTTAATACTAAACGTTTAATTTGTTTAAATCCGTTACAATTTTAAGGAAAGGAACACCTTGATATTTCCGCATGGATATTACTGAAAAACACTGACCAAAGTCACACAAAAAATGTAAATTTAGTTTCCAAAGACACTCCAGCTTTGGCAGCTATTTTCTCACTACTTTTACCTCTGACACCAGGCAACTCCCACCTCCTTCAAGCACAGATATCTCGGCTTCTGTTCTATACAGCTGCATATAAAAAAAAAAAAATCAAAAGCAAGATAAACGAACAAGCTTTAAGATAATATCAATAACACCATATGCCCCACAATTTGATGAGAACTTGATTCCAATGTGTCGTGGTACAAACGTATGGAAAAGAATTTAAATTTCTGTCCACTTACCACCTTTTCCTTGAGAAGCTCTTTCTTGTATAACACTGCGGAATGGTGCCAAACCTGTACCTGGAAAGGAAGGGAAAGAAATAAACTTAACTTTTGTTCTGCTTTCTAGAGTCCAGTATGCACATAGAGAAGAGATTTCCTGGTCCCAATTTAAAAAAAATAAATTAATGTATAATCTTGGCATTTAAAACAAGTTTGTAATGAAAAGATTTCCGCACCCCACTGATTTTGCCAGGCACATACTAGACTGTATAGAATAATCTAAGAGGGGCAGATTTCTGCCTTTACCGGTATAATATACAGTCATCCATTGTTGATCAAAGTAGCTGCGAGATTTCATCCTAATAAGTTTGACTGAGATACCCAGTACGGCTTTGGTCAAAACAGAATCTAACCTTGCAGAAAATGCACATATTATACTTTTACAAAGGTAACAGGGAAAAAGTATGTTAGGCATTCTCATGGTCTGCCTTTTGACCACATACTTTACTTTTACTTTACTTTTCTGATCCAGCGGCCATTTGGGTTCTAGCCCTTTGGCCTGTCGATATGGCAAAGAAGCCTTTTGACCACATGAAGAGTATAAAAATAGTCATAAATTAGTAACATTACTTACCATGATCATGAATTAGTAACACAGCACTTATCATGGTAAACAGAATACAGTAATAATGACGTTTTCTTATCTTACCTGGACCCACCAACACAAGAGGGACATCGTGGTCTGCGGGGAATCGTATGGTCCCTTTTTTGACCCAGATGGGCACGTATGTGTCTTGTCTGTCCGGACTGAGGCTGGACAGCCAGGTGGAGCAGACGCCGCGTCGTGCATTCTGAAGTTTTGTGCGGTAGCGAACGACAGCCATGAGAAGATGCAGCTGGGTTGGGTGGGCCTGAGGAGAGACATAGAGTCAAACCTGCTCTAACGGTCACCTGTATAAGACAATCACCTGTATAAGACAATCACCTGTATAAGACAATCACCTGTATAAGACAATCACCAGTTCAAATGGCCACTCCCCATTTTTTCCTCGTGCATTTTATAATATCATAATAACACTATGTAAGATGTCCACCAGTCTAAAACAACCATTTTTCTCCTCGAGAATAGATGGCCGTCTTCAACAATTTCACACGTACTTGCCTGAACATTGTTTTTCCCCGGCATGAAATTACCACTATTGTGTCGATGTGTCTTACCTATACAAAACAATCATCAGACCCTTGTGTGGCATCACAGTGAAATCATACACTCGTCAAATCAATGAAATCAAAGAAATCAACAATTTTCTCCTATTTGGACAATTTTTATCAAATTTCTTTTTCTTTCTTTTTTTTTTTTGGGGGGGTGGGGGGGGGGGGGTGGGGGGTGGGAGGGGGATCAACACTTTTTTATGTCCTTCTAAACACATATTTCTGTGTGGATTTTACTGAAAAACCATTGATCAAACACATAAAAAAATGTTAATTTTCAGTTTTCAAGGACACTCGAGATTTGGAAGTCATCAAATTTTTGCGGTCATTTCTTCACTAATTTTACCCTTGACACCAGACCAGGTGACCCCCACCCTCTCCTTCGTTCACAAATATCTCAACTTCTGTTCAAGATAGATGGGTATTATTTTTTTTCATCAAAAAAAGACAAATGAGCACGTTTTAACATTATACCAACAATTTCATCTGCCTAAAAACTGACGAGCGGCTGATTTCATTGCGTCATGACACATGTATATACAGTCGAACCTGCTCTAACTACCTCCTGTAAAAGACAATCACCTGTACAAATGGCCACTTCCCATTTCTCCCCTCGAGTATTTTTTACATTAAAGTGGCTATAATGAAACAGAAAAACAAATGCAGAAAATATTAAGTTCTTCTAACCTCCTTTCAGTAAAAATACCAAAAGTAACACTTTATTAATTTTTTTTAAAAGGAAAAAACAAAAGAGCGGGATCCCTGCAAAAACGACTCACCTTTATTGAAGAAGCTATGGAGAAAGCTCTGGGCTGAAGGGCAGGGATGACATCAAAGAGGTGATCAAATGGGATCCGTTTACTGGTCTTGTGAAAGTCTTCAAGAATCTGACGAGATTTTATTTGTATGAGTAATGTGAAGCACATCAACACCATAATGGTCATTTGGTGCTGGGAAAAAAAGACCGACAGAGGGAAACACCAGAAGGGGGAGGGAATGAAAGGATTATTATTGGAACAATATTTCTTGTATTATTATTATTTGTGCAGTGAGTACCTTTTTAGGGGATGTGAGCTATATAAAAGTAATTTATAGCATTATCTGTAACATTCTTGATCCAGGAACTCTCACTGTAGCCTGTCATACGTTGAATCTAGAAAAACTAAAACAAACCTAATAATAATAAAGAGCGTTCGTATGGCGCAAATTCCCACTCCACAGCAAGCTCTGTGCGCTTCACAATCTATATTATAACCCCAGCTGACCTGATAGCATTTCGAAACAACTTCAACTACTGGAAAGCATACACTGCAAGCTGCCATTTTATCTGCACTAAAACACTAACATATTGACAAAACCTTTTGCTGTCTATGGCCGGGTACCCATTCTAACCTGGGTAGAGTGAGGCAATTCATGTCAAGTGTCGTTCCTAAGGACAAAATGTTGGTCTTGACGCTCAAACCCCTGAACTCACAACCTCACGAGTACGAGTCCGGTAGCCTAAACACTGGACTACCGATACCGCATCTTCAAAATGTAAAGAGATACATTATGTATAAATTTCTTACAGAAAGAGTTATTTCCACATCAAAACAGAGATCATTTCTTTACATGTGTTACAGAACTAACAAGTACCTCCAAAATGGTTCTCTTCACTCTGTTGCAATATGAATACAGCTCTTCCTGAGGAATAAAAAAGTTTCACTCATGAGAAGAGATATTGGCACAACCTGTACTCTGCATTATGGAAACTTTATTTCACAAATGACTGTTTCATGTGATGTGATGTGGGCCAATTGCCTAAAACACTGAGTAAACTTACTTATTAACTTAATAAAAACAAAAAAATGTTTTAAAACTAAATTCCCTCAACCAAACAATATTTCAAACATAATGAATAATCATGGAAATTTTGAAAATATGTACACAGTATTATCTATTTTACTGTAAATCTGAAGCAAACATCACTCCATCTATTAAAAATTAATTACCCTGGATCTTTGGTCTGTCAGTGAACCAGGGAGATGAAGGCGGTATTATTGTTAACATCAAAACACAAAAAGCACATAGCTGCCAACTTTTCAAAACAAAATAACAGGCTCTAGGTACACAGCGGTTAAAGACGGTGGGCATTGAATAAGTGGCCCCTCTCCAAACCTTCACACACATTTTTCATCAGGCAGTAAATTCACAAACTGCTCCTAGTAGACCAGCAGCAATTATATAAGAAATGTTAACTGTAAAACCTCTCCAATGGAATAAAAGGATCTGTTCTCAAAATCGTTTGCAAATTTAGTCTTGAAAGTTAAAAATTTTTCTTAAATCATCAGCAAGTCACTGAGGAGCCAAACTAGAAAACAATTCATATTTTCTGACACAAAAACAGACTTCAGTGCTCAGACCCTCAAAAGAACGTAATATATATCGACTGCTCAGAGTAAGACTTCACCATACATCCTTTGGGAAAGTGTGGAGAATGGTGTCTTACAATGAGAAGTCGAAATGTCTTTTGTTTGTTTTGGAAAGTGTGTTATAGGGCACGCAACTGCATAAGGTCATATGAGATTGCGGGACACATTAAACATTTTCAGTTTGGTAGGAATTAATTAGGAAATTTGCACGTGTGGCGATGGAAGCCTACTCTTTTCGATTTTGGACCACCAAGGGATCTGCAACATGCACACAGGACCTCAGAGATTTTTTCGCCCTTATCCGAGAAAGCTAAGTGCTAGATATTACCTACCCTAATATCAGGGATGTGGCTGAAAGAGAGCAGTAAGAAGGAGCCAAGGAGTAAAAGAAGAAAGGGGGGGGGGGCTAGTAAAAGGAGATAACAGAACATAATTTAACAGCAGGAGAGGAGGTGAAACGAGAAAACTTTTAGACAAGAAACAAGAAAAATTTCCGTTACTATCAGGTTTTGAACACGGGACCTATTGAATGAGAGGCGAACACCGTAACCTCAAGAACAAGAGAGCCCATGATATGTCCTTAACATACTGGTTGGCAGCTATGGTTAAGATCTTATCACACAAAAAATCTACCTGTCCTTCTGGGGTGCAGAACTCTTCCAGCTTCTCTCTCTCCAGCTCATCATCGGCGTGGTACTTCAGCAGCTCGAAGAAGGACTTCCGCGGGACTGAGTTGATGTCCAGATAGTGCGTGACGAGCCAGCGTATACTGCAAGGGGACGGGAATCTGGCGGGCAGAGGCACGTCTGTTTATGGCAAAACAAAACAAAAATTAATAAAAGAAAAAATAAAATAAAAAGAAAGACAAACATAAAATTCACATTACATTATCTGTTTAATTCATTTCACCTGGCCACAGAACATATACTTAGGACCTGCGTGCTTGCCACGGCCTTAGGTTTAGTTTTAGTAAGTGTTTTACGGCACTTGCAACACAATAAGGTCTATATGAGTGCCGGAGATTAGTGATATTACAAGAGAGTAACAAACACAAAAAAGAAGGAGAGGAGAAAAAGACGATAGATTTTTGATAGGAAAGAAGAAGAATACCACACCAGAGCACCCGCCAACCACCCACTTTGCCCTGGCCGGTCAACATAAACAGACGTAGCCAGTTTTACTATATTAGTGCTCTTATCCACGTTTCCGGTTTCTCCAAGAGAAATAGAATATCCCATACATTTATTGACAAAGAAATGGTGGCCAAGCCAATTAATACTGTACCTTTCATGAACCCAAATAGGAAACAGCAGAAAGTAATAGTAATAATGATAATAATAATATAACTGATAATAGTAATAACAATGATGACAATAATGAAAATTATAATAATAATAATAATAATAATAATAATAATAATGATAATAATAATAACAATAATAATAATAATAATAATGATAATAATGATAATAATACCAATGCTACTACTACTACAACTAAAAATAACAACGATAAAGATTTCTTCTTTTGCACCAACTCCCACATGGCTCTCCCTGCTTCATAACAAAATAAGATTTCAATGAAAGTCATGCGTACTGGCCCATTCAATGTACAACAATCTGTTCAAATACATATACATCAGTAATCTGACAAAGAACACACAAATAAAAAAAAAAAGACTAAAAACTCCCCCAAAATAAAAACAATCACGGTGGCCTCTGATCTCACTTGTTGTTGAAAGAGAAATCAAACTAATTGCATTTATAAAGAACTCTATTCCATACAAGTCATTATAGTAATAATAATGGATTGTATATATATAGCACTCTATCCAATACGAGTATAAACTTCGAGCGCTTCACTAATATCACATGACCACTGAGTGTAATACTTCATTCATATAAGATAAAATATATCAAAGTAACAAGAAAACCAGTTCAACTGCAAAAAGAAGAACTTTCTCAACTATACATTAACTCACTTGCGACTGGGCCCTTTCACCAGTCACAAGTGTTGAAGACTGGCGTTTTTGGGGGTATTTCAATAAATCACCACAACTCTCAGAATTACCCTATTGTAATCATTTTTTGACACAGTAAAGTAACATTCAAGCTTAATCTAATACAAAAAACTAAAGTTGTCTAAGTCTAATACTTTAATTTGTATGATTTTTTAAAAATTGGCATGAATTTGATTTTCCTAAAAATTTCCAGAGACGTGACAAGTAGAATGAAATTCACTGCAACAACAAAAATAAAAGTTCAAAGTGTTCTGCTTTGATTTGTATACATGTGCGAGTGTTTGGTGAAAATATAAAAGCTGGTCTGTGCATTGATTCAGACCCATACACTGAATTACATGAGACAGATGTACGGCACGTCGTTGTGATTTCGTTGCGCGAAAAACAACACCGGTACTAGTGCTAGATCTAGCCCTAGAACTACGACTTGGGCTGTGTTCGGGTACATATCCAGGATCCTAACTATTAGACACATCATATTCTGAGACACTAGAACTAGTAAAACGCACAGAAGTATAGAAAACGGCGAAATTATGTGATTCTTGTTCATGCGACTTCTTCGACTGTTACTACGACGCGACTGTCGGATTACTATCAGCTGTATAGAAAAAAACAAAGCGCGAGTTCCGGTCTGTTCAACCCCAGTTGGGGTCACTGTCCTTCACCTTCAATAACTTAAAAACTACTGACCCCCAGAGATACGAAACGAGGTCTAAGTAGCTCAGGCTTGGCCAAACAAGGGTACGAGGCGGGTCTCGCGATCTGTGCGTGATTTGTAGAGCGGAAAAAAAATTCCAAAGTTGGTCACGCAGGGCTTGTGAGACCCGTCGCGAGCGTCCCGGCGGGGGTCACGCAACTGTTGTGTGACCCGTCTGAAGTGAGTTAACCATATAAAGTTGTTCCTGCATCCGATCCGGACATTGGGTATTGCCTTATTTGTGAGACAACTTCCTGGGCCTTCGGCATATTGTGGTAGCGTGGCCAGTTCCTTTCCAAGCTGCCTTTACTTCCCCAACTTGAAGTCAGACACCCATTTCTGCTGGGTGGGCAGGAGAGGGTGAAAAAAAATTTGCTTCCGAACCGAGGCTCAAACCCGGATTTTTCTTCTTCGCAGACGAGTGCACTAACCGCTTTGCCACCGCACCCTCTATACACAAAGAAGAACTTCCTCAACGATACATTAACCATATATACATGTACGCACAGCAAAAAAGGCAAAACATATCAGCACTTACTAACACACTACAACTAAGAATTCAACAAATGAGTCTTGAGCTTTAGTATGAGCTGTGAAGGAAGAACACACAAACCTGGATCATTTTCCTCCAATCTGAACATCTGATCTGGATTGAGTTCGAGCAGAGAGAGGAAAGCCTCCACTGTGTCGGTTAAGTTCTCCGGGTGAATCATCGCTACATCCCCAGGTTCAAAACTGGAACAGAAAATGAAAAAAAAAATAATTGACATAATGTTGTCAGCAAGCCGTTAAAATTTATACCAGGCCCAGAAAGAAAAATTTTACGGGAGAGAGACAGAACTATTTCATTCTTTAAAAATTGTACTTACTTTATGTATTTTTTCCCACCTTTTTCTTTCAACATTAAGAATTTGAATTTCAGAAAAATATTTCTTGAGCACATGCAAATGACACCACGGATTAAGAAACAGATTTTTTTAAAATCCATTAAAGTATGTTTTGAGAAGTGGTTCATAGGCCATGCATAGAGAGCTGCAGACTGGAAAATGAAAAGATATCCTAAACAATCTTGTTCATTTTAAGACTTGTATACGAGACTATTAAATAAATGCAGGACTGACATAGAATCTGTTCAGGTAAACATACCATCGGCCAGTTGGTAAAACGTACTTGGCCCCCCAAAATTGCTCGGTATCAAAACTCATTACGTGATCCAAATTGTTTACAACAGCGCTCCTTTCCCATTTCAAAGCATACATGGGAACCCAATCAACCTTATTTTTGTTTTAACAACCCTGGCCTTTCTGCTATGACTTAAAACAAATACTTCAGAAATCATAACTGAAAAGTAGAAAAGAAAGAAGTACAAGATAGTTAGTGAATGATGCATTTTGACTTCTTAGTGAAAGACTCCACTATGTTATGCCTAATGAAAAGTGACGAATGATGGAATCTTACACTGAGCAGTCCATTTCAATTAAACTGGTGATCCCAATCTCAACTTCCAACACACACCCTTCTCATAACAAAAACAAAAAGCTTGCCAATTCTTATTGACAATGCAGTAACAATTCAGACCACTATTCAACCTGCTACAGTAACAAAGAATTCTGGGCAAAAAGTACACTTTGACTTAGAATTATTTTCTAATTGACAATGAGTACCTAAAGATTCAAACCAGAATGTACTCTTTGACTTACAATTATTTTCCAATTGACAATGTGTACCTAAGAATTCTAAGCAAAATGTAACCTCTGACCTAAGTCCCGAGCCAGTGATGTCCAGCTTGATGAGACGGACGTCCTGGAAGTGGTCAGCGGCGGTCACTCTTTGATTGGACAATAATCTCGCATGAAATGGACACAGAGGGCCCGGACTTATATCACTGGACACAGGAAGGGGTCGCTCCTCTTGAGAAGACTCCATGTCCACAAACACAGCTTTGTACTTAGGGGGAGGGCTGAGGAAAGACAGGAGTAAAACAAAAAAAAGCGTAGAGGATTTTTTCAAGCCCCCATCAACAAAACAAAATTTAGATAATTTGGGAGGCAGTTGGTGTTTTGTTCTGTATTCTAGGCCATTGGCCCCTATAATACCCCCCGCCCATTTTACAGAAGAGACCTCCATGGAAACTGAATAAATTATAAATGAAATACATTTCAATAACATTTTTAAAACATTTCAAACTCTGTACGGTAATCTAATCAATTTTTTAAATAAGAAATTTAGGGCATATCAACACAAAAGATTAGAGGTGTTACAAGGGAGTAATAAACACATAAAAGAAGAACGAGAGATAAGGATGACAGCTGTTTGATAAGAAAGTAGGAGCATACCCCACCAGAGCACCCACCAACCACCCACTTACCGATATCTAAGAGATTGGATTGAGTATGATCAGACCAAGTCAGCAAATAGCCTTGTCTGTTAAACTCCCTTGAAACAAGACGAGATAAAGAACATCCCGTTGGGGATTTAAATCAGAGTCATCCGTGCAAAAGTCCACCATTTTGATTGTGCGAAAAATAGTATGTTTGCTTAAATAAAGAGAAGCACATCGATACAATAATGCCTCCCTCCTTCAAAGTCTCTCCCAGAGGAGGAAGTCTCAGCCATTGTTGTATGCATAATATTACAGACCAGTGATTGAGCATCGACTTATTGAAGCTGTCTATATTTCTCATATTCCAATTTCATCAAATCATATGATTAGAACTGGTGTGTGTGTGTGTGTGTGTGTATGTATGTGTGCATGTGTGTGTGTGCATGTGTGTGTGCGGGGGGGATGGGCGGGGGGTTAATTTGTATGTAGTCCCACCTCAGGTACTTGCCTGAGATCTATCAAAGAATGCAAAGAAACAAAGAAGAAAAAGAAGAGCTTCCAGCATACTCAGTGCAAGACGTTCACCTACCACACAGACTCGCTGATCACTTCCAAGCCTGAGGGCAAGGGCCACATTTCCATCACTTTGGCCCACAGCTCTGACAGCCAGGGAGATACCACTGCATCCACTCTGCAAAATGACGCCCACAACATTTATAACGTATTCTTAGAAGTAATGA